GTTTTCCATATCTGTTGACATATGTTCGTTAGCACTAGAGTTGACTCTAACCATGTGGATTGCAACAGTTCTATTGGTATATTATCTGTTTCAACATTCAGAAGTTAAAAGATGTCCTGTATCAGTCATACTCATTAACATGCTTACTTAGAAAATAGTTTAACATCAAAAATCCACAAAACAGTGATACAATCAAAATGCACAAAATATATCTTGCAGATATTTTGTTCATTTTGGTTGGTCCTATAAAGGTACCAATAAAGGTACACTGTTTTGTGGATCTTTTATGTTAAGGTACTTTGCTAGATGACCAATATGGCTACCTCTGGATATGCTTACTTGACTTAGCAAGAAAAAAGTAGTGGCTGAATCATTGAGAAATGGGAGGTCTTGAGGCGCTGCACACACTCCTGCTACCTAGCTTCTCCTCTTCAAATAACACCTTGAATCAGTGTCTTTCTTTTAGTCATCTCATGCCATTTTCACAAGCTGACATATCCTGGCTTGTTGCAAACAGACATGCAAAATCACATAGTGTGGGTACTAGCAGTTTTCCTTAATGGTTCCTCCTATATTGGAGCAATCCTTCAGAGCCTCTGGAGTGTTTGGTGAATTACTTTCAAAGCCTTTTGTCCATTTTCAGTTAAGAATTGTGCTGAGTGTCTATGGTCCAAAACATGCTGCAGAAGTAATTCAGTCTGAGACTGCTTTAACTGGTCTGGCTCAATGCTAGGGAATCCTGGGAACTGTAATTTTGTGAGACATTTAACCTTCTCTGTCAGAGAGTTCTGGTGTCAGTACAAGGATTCCCTAATACTGAGCCAGGTCAGTTAAAGCAGTCTCAAACTGGATTATTTCTGCAGTGTGTTTTGGACCTGTGTCACTACCTGAATTTTCTGTGTACTGCATTTCTAGGGATCAAGCCACTGGCCATTTGGCAATTTCAGAAAATGATATACCACAACATGATTTAGGCTCTCAGTTGCATTTCTCCCCTTCAGAACCAGACGTAGCTTCCTAGTTACACCCAGTTTTATAAAAAGGCCCTACACATAATACAGGTTATGGTGGGCACAGCGTCATCACTAGAGGTACAGTTAGCTACTACTATTAATTTAAATTAATTTATATGTTATCTTATTTTAGTCTAATTTATCTTATTCCATTGCATTTTATGCATTGTATTTTCTTGTATTTTACCATGGTTGACGTTAACTGTTTGGTTGAATGATTAGTCAATAAACTTTTAACTAACTAAGGGGGGAAGCAGACGGCTAAAAGGGGCATCTTGGGGCAAAGAAGGGGAGGGGCAGCCACACGGTGGGCACCCCAACCCCTTCCCGAAGTCATTGTCAGAGCACTGGCCCCTCCACATGGCCGGCGCTCCGACGATGACTTCCTGCCGCAGCATTTGCAAACGCTGCAGCGGAAGAGTCGCCGAAGGTGCACCGCCAGCCTTTAGCAGCACACCTTCAGCAACTTGTGGAAGGAGCGCTATTTTACTGACATTATTCTGAACCTGGTTCCCCCACAGAGCATTAATGGGTGATGTGTCATGAGTTTACTATTGTGATTATTTTAATTATTATTATTTTTGTTTAACTGGTATTAAGATTTTAACTATGTTGATGTTTAATACTGTTTTAAGGGGGGGGAGGGATATGTTTTTACTGTAATTGTTTTATGTTGTAAACCGCCCGGATTGGGCAACCATTGGGCGGTATAGAAATAAATTTTATTATTTATTATTATATTATTATTTTAGCACTCCTTCCAGGGGCGGCGAAGCTGTGCCGCGGGGCCAAGGTGTGGGGATACCTCGGCCCCGCGGTGCAGCTTCCTGGGGCAGACCACGGCCGCCTGTCTGCTTAGCCCCTAATACTAGGAGTACAGGGGATACAGACTGCATTGGGTGAAGGCACAGAAGAGGGTCACCTGGTGGGGCAGTCATTCATCATCCATCTTAATCCCCCTGCTGGTCCCCGCTGCCCAGCAGGGCACCTCTGCAAAAGAGGAAAGATGCTCTCATTGCAGAGCATTGCCCTGCCCTGCCCTGCCCTGCATTCTCTCCTTTCATGGAGGTTAAGGCAGTCTGCTGGATTGTCTGCCTGCCCATCCAACCACCTGGGTCTTTCCAGATCTGGGCAGGTGGGCAGATGAGGATGAGGGAGTGAAGGGAGGTGGAGCTTGTCTGCCTGTCCATTCACCTGGGTCCTTCTGGGTCTGGCTGGCTGGATGGAAAAGGCAGAGGGAGGGAAAGGAGCAGGTCCCTATGCTGCTGCTGCTGTTGCTGCTGCAACCTCCCACACCTGATGACACTATCTTAGTGATACCACTGGTGGGACCATCATTTGGCCATGATAGCAATGGACTCTGGAAGTTATCATCTAAGAGGGAAAAATGTTCTTCCAGGCCATGATGGGGAGGCTAAACACCTGTCGTACCCAATATTAGGAATCCTAGAGCCTCACAAATCTTTCATGAGGAACACATTTTACTTTTTTCTAATGACCACTGGAGAATCCCATATAAATGCTTCTAAACCCAAACAAGATAGATTGTTTTTAAGAATAGCCTCCTTTATTTCATCCTGCAGCTATGCCTCTCTTGTAAAGGTCAGTCCATCCCATCCCTAATCCTTTGAAATAAGATAAGCAGCAATGCATCTCCCTGACCCAGAATGTAATCCATTTGAATGTTAATGAGACTCCAGGTTCCCTTGAGGTGCTTAGTATCTCATCACCTACCCTGCCATGCCATATCTTTTGAAAACTTATGTATACATGAGATTAAAATTCAAAGAGGTAGCTGTGTTAGTCTGGAAAATTAGTGTATAAAGGGATCTTGTAGCACCTGAGGAAGTAGGCTTGAATTTACAAAAGCTCATGCTACCAACTTCTTTCTTTCAGTTAATCTCAAAGGTGCTACAAGATCCCTTTTGCATACATGTGAGTTTACATTCATGTGTTTATGAGGATTTTTTTAAAAAAAATATATATCCAATTTCACCTCACATTGCCTAATGTTGAATCCAGTGGGGATAAACATACATTTTGCCTCACTATGAATTGTTGTTTCTGGAAATACAGAGACCCCTAGCTGTGGCATGCAAAGTGCAGGCTAGAACTATCTGTGTTTATGTGAATGGATATTAGCAAGGCGACCAAGGGAAGAGGGGAATGGTTTGATTGCTCCCTATCTTTTAATAACAGGATGTCAATTTTTGAGATGAATTAATCTATCTGTTCATTCCCCTGCATTTGATTTTCTAAAATAGCAAGTTCTTTTCAGCAAGTTTATGAAGAAACTTGCCAATTTTGACCAGAGTTTGCATTGTTCAAGGAAAGGGATTCATTCTATTCCTTGTTACTTTGCCCTAGTGGTAGGTCATTGTCCTCCCACCCAAGTGGCAATGCTAGACACAAGAATTGGTCAAGTAAGGCCAAAGCTTTACTAATTCCAAGAATCTGCAACACAGCAGCCAATCAGATGTTCAGGATTAAATTTATATGTGGAAACTTGATGAAACTTTTCCAGGCTGAAAAGATAGGGCATAGACTCTGCAATCCTTCCTAGCTTGATCTCATAAAGTGATCAGAGGGTCCCAAGGGATTCCCCCTCAGGTAGCATTGCTTGGCACTCTTTCCTGAGGCAGTCATCTTGGGACAAGAATCACATCTCCCCTCAAGCCAGTCAGGAAAATGGGTGAATTATTTTGCCTTGTGGTGTCACTGAATTCCTTCAGAGAGCAAAACTGAAACTAAGGTCTAATCTGAAACTGCCGTTTGACACCATTCTAACAGCCATGGCCCAAGACTATAGAATTCTGGGATTTGTCATTTTATAAGATATCTACCCTCTTCTATCAGAGACCTATGGTGCCACAACAAATGGAAGGATTCAAAAAACTAGAGCCATAGCAGTTAAAATTGTGTCAAATTTCATTATTTCTGCAGTGCAGATGCAGCCTAAGTGCTTGCTTGCATCCTAACAGTTATGGCATATAACAACACTCAACCAATAAACCAGGGGTAGGCAACCTTTCCCCTTTAAGGGCCAAGGGACTTCAGCTCCCAGAAGCCTCAGCCATGTTGGCCAATAGTCCCACGTTGGCCAATAGCTCCTGGGATTCTGGGAGCTGAAGTCCCTCGGCCCTTAAAGGGGAAAGGTTGCCTACCCCTGCAATAAACTGTAGCCACACAGGCTCAACACTATATAGCATGAAGTAGGAGAAAAAAAGTGTCACCAACCAAAGATAGCATGGCAAATAGATAAATTAAAATAAAATAAATTCCTAAATTTGTAATTCCCATGCTATACAGGGGCACATGAGTTGGACACAGAAGCAGCAAAGAACCCTGAATCAGAGCAGTGGCATCTTACATAACCTAGTGCAGATCTGCCTGGCACCAGTGCCAGAATGCACTCTGGCATGGCATGTGTTCAATGGCTTGGGGAGAACAATATTGGTACCATTCTTGCCTTGGTTTGCCCCAGAGGTGGAAGATCCCTGACAAGGAGTTGTGAGTGTGCCCTGGGATTCTATTGCTAAACAGAAGATTCAAAGGCATAGCTCATACTTCTAGAAATACCCCAGTATACCTTCTGAGAGGGATATCAAAGCTTTAGAGAATTTGCAGAGAATCTATACACCTGCCATTTAACTTTCATACTTGATTTGAAGTATACTTGAAGACATTTTGTTTTAAGGAAATGGAATTAAAAGGAAAAGGCTTCCTCTGAGGCTGAGAGAGTGTGATTGGCCAAGGTCATTCAGTGGGTTTCTATTGACGAGTGAGGATTCAAACCATGGCCTCCAGAGTCCTAGTCCAACATCCAAAAACCTACACCATACTAGTTCTCTAGCTAAGATTTTTTGTTGTTATGTGCCTTCAAGTCATTTATGACTTTATAACTTTCTGGCCTAAGGCCATGAACCTATCATGGGCTTTTCTTGGCAAGATTTTTTTTTAGAAAGAGTTTGCTTTTGCCATCCCCTGAGGCTGAGAGCATGTAATTTTCCCAAGGTCACCCACTGGGTTTCATGCCTGAGCCAGGATCAAACCTGGACTCCAGATTTGCAGTCCAACACTCAAACCACTACACCACTCTGGTCCATATGGTTTTAACCAATAGGGATTTTAATATGAGCATTTGTCAGTGTGAACTTAAGATTTCAAAACTATTGGTTGACTGTAATTAATTATTACTATCTGTCAAAGAACAAGTGGGTTATGTAAAGAAATAAACAAGCAATCAAAGATATGTGACCATATTTTGTGCTCCCTCAGAGTGGTTATATAATTTAAAAATTCTAATAATACCACTGTGTCAATAGCCTACATAACGAATTAAATATATTTTACAATAAGACCAACATTGCAATAACTTATGTAACTAAAGGCAAACAATGTATGCCAAGGGATGTTTTTCTGCTCAACTGGTTCAGTTTTTAATGAATACAGCCACCAGATGTCACTGCAGGATAAATTACTAATGCACTTAGTCAATTTCAGTATAGTTTAGGGAAAGAAAATCTGTAAGCTCTCAATAATAGGGGTAGATGACAACAGTTTGTCTGCCCTGCCCACAATCTTCTTCTGCTGCATCTGATTAGTGATTAGTGGTGAGAAGAGGTGACCAAATGAAAAAGAACTTTTGATAGTTGTATAAAGAGGGAATTTCACCAGTGTCCAAGCCATCATATTCCCCATCACCATGTATGGATGTGAGAGCTGGATGATGAAGAAAGCTGACAGAAAGAAAATAAATTCATTTGAGATGTCGTGCTGGAAAAGGGTGCTGTGGATACTATGGACAACCAAGAAGACAAACAAATGGGTCCCTAAACAGATAAAGCCCAAACTCTCCCTGGAAGCTGGGATGACTGAGGCTGTCATAGTTTCCTATATCATGAGAAGGCATGGCTCATTAGAAAAGACAATAATGATAGGAAAGGTAGATGACAGTAGAAAGAGAGGGAGACCACAGGGCAGATGGATATCCACAATAAGAGAAACCACGGCCAAGCCTGCAAGATCTGAACAAATTAATCCATTCATTCAGAGTCTTTACTTCCCATTCATTTGCCAGAAGGAGCCCTGGTGGCCAGTGGTTAAATGCCTGTACTGCACCCACTCACTCATAGTCCACAAGGTTGCGAGTTCAATACTAGCCAGGGCTAAGGCTTGCATCCTTCCAAGGTCACTAAAATGAGTACCCAACTGTTGGGCGGCAATGAGCTTACACTTGTAAACTGCTTAGACATCCCATAGCCCAGTATGAAGTGGTATATAAATGAAGCTGCTTTGCTTTGCTTTGCTTACAAACTGTTAATTACACAGTTCCTTGCCCTTAGGCTTACAGTATAAAAAAGGGCATCAAACAAAAGGAGAAGGCCATGGTAAATTAATTGAGGGAGGACCCTTCTTCTATCTCTGGCCTAGCCTTAGTGGAGCTTTGTCTGCCTCTTCTCTCCCTCTGAGGCCAGGACAGGGGTAGTAG